TAGATGCTTCAAGTTCCTGCCATCTCAGCTTCCTACAATCTAGAATGGTAGGCTGAATGCACCCTTTCTCGCCTAAGTCATTTTTGTCAGGGTGTTTTTATCATAGCCACAGAAATGAAACTAAGATGCCCCCACACAATGAGCTAGCTATTTGGCTAGGAAACTCCTTCAGCTGTGGGCAGTACAAGTAATGTAGCCAGTAGGCCGTTCCCTCGAGTGTGTATAAGCATGGCAGTTTCTGTGATGGAAGACCTTGAATCATTCCCCAGTGGCTGCTTGGGAACAGCTGCCCACAAGTGCTCCCAGTAAAGGGAAGCTTGTATGGCTGTGGAGGAGTGAGCAGTTCAGTGGGACAGCAGCAGTGGCAGGAGCTTGGGAGGGACACTATACTAGCTGTGCTCTGGACAGAATCACCTGCTCCCTGGGTGACAGCAAGGGTGTCACTTTCCCTTTCTAACCCTCACATTTCTCATCACGGGTAGTTGTGAAGATAAAACGAAATGGCCAGGAAAAGGCCTTGGGTATTTAGAGAGCATTTAGCAAATGTCACCTGCTGAAGTCATCAGCACAGACTCCCCCACACCTGATATCTGTCCTAATTGCATCTGGTCATGTCAACTACGGACTGTCACAAGGCAGGTGGTATCAAGTCCTCCACATTATCCTAGCTGTATTCCCACTTGGAACATGCACTCAGCTTAACCTTACTGCTTGATAGTGTGAGTTTCCCAAAGATGGTAGAGAGGTTTGGAGTGGATGAGAGGCCAAGGTAAAAGGCACCGCATTTCCATTGTAGAAGGCAGAGCAGGTCACACAGATGAGCAGCAGGGAGGAACAGCTTTGAACATGAGCATGACTAACAGACACACTGGCACCAAATGCATGGATGAACAGTGGTGTCATTGGGAGGTCAAGAGAGCCCATAGACATGCTATGATGGCAAGTCTTGGCTTGAAAGGCTTAAGGATTCTCTGGTTGGAAACTGTTGGGCCCAAAACAAGTTCCCTAGGTTGTGAGTTCATCTTGGGCTCCAGTCTGGCCTAGAATAAGATTTTTCACTGAAGCTCCATGATTTTACTTGTTCTCCCATTCATCAGAGCTCAGAAGGCCACTTGGGTAAAAATAGATGTCTACACGTCCTTTGGAGCATCAGAAAAGCCAAGCACATTTCCTCACTGTACTCCTCAGTCCCTCTGCTTTTTAGAAAACTGTCTTATTAACTTGATTAACTTGTGTCAGAGAGTTCTCCACACAGTAGGCACTTAGTAAATGCCTGATAAGGTCTGTGTCACTGACTGAAGTGTCCGGTGGATGCTGGCACCTGGCATGCTTGGCACTGGCTCTTGTCTTGGCCAAATGGCAAGCGATTGGTTCAATGGCCTTTGGGTTCTCTGTCTCCTGAGTGTCAGGGCAGCTGAGAAACTGCTTGGAGCTGACCCTGAGGGGCTGCCAGGCACTTCCACTGTCTCTAGTGGAATAAATCTGGAAATTGTGGTGCTACCATCTGGAAAGGTTTCCCAGAGAGCACTGTGGATTTATGGTTCAGGGTGACGTGGGAAGCCCTCAGAATGACATCCACAGCTAGTCCCCTTCTAGAGTGCAATCTAGACATGCCTTCCTGGAGTTTTGGTTATTGACTTTAGGAACCATAACAGGCTTCATGGTAGACTTCTTTCCCTTATCTCCATCACAGAAACATAGTGTGTCCACAAGTCAAGGTCAGGACTGCATTTCATGCCCATCTGTCTCTAGTAGGTAAACTGTCAGCTTGCTAGCCTTTTAAGGAAGCTCCATCCCCTCTGCATCAAACCAGTCTTCAACCCTCCACCCTGGTGGCCAGAGAATCAGAAGTAGAGATAGGAGTCAGAACCAGCAGTGATCAAGGCAGCATGGAGGTTCCTCTCAAGGGAATTCTTTAGGATGGAATGTCTCCTTGCCCCCAAAAATCCTAGGACATTCTATCCTACAGTGGCTCCTCACAAAAACAAGAGACGTCTGCAAAAATCTCAGTGAAGGGCATATAGAGAAGGTGAACAAGCCAGCCTTCATCTATGCCAGTCACAGTGGGGTGAGAAGAAGACACACCTCCCCAAACTCTTGCCTGGAGATGGTACTCCCATATTATCAACACGCCAAGATCTGGTCACTCTTGCCATGCTTAAAAAATCAAAAGCCTTCTTAGAAGGCTCCTGGTTCAGTTGCTCGTTGAAGGTTTGGAGTCAACTGTGGCCACTGAACTACGCTCTGATGGATAGTCTGGTTGCCTCAGCTCTCATCCAGCTTCCACTTAGAGGAGAGGGTGTGTCAGGGAGGAAATTCTGCACACTAGGTCAAAGGACCAATAATGCAGAAGGCCACATAGGCTTCTCATTCAGCTGGCACTTGAGTGGCTGCAAGCTCGGCTGATTCCATATGGCACCAAAGTTCTCATTCCTGCCTCTAGAAATGAACCTAGTACTTTCAACCCCCAGATTTTCCTCCTCAGGCTGATGCCTTGGAGTGCAGACAGAGTGAAAATGAAAAGCTCAAATAGCTAGATTATAGCCTCTAGCCAGATCGTTTTCTGGCTTTTAGTATTTCTGTGGATTGTGTCTGTGTGCCTTCATATCTCTCTCTCTCTCTCTCTCTCTCTCTCTCTCTCTCTCTCTCTCTCTCTCTCTCTCTCTCTCTTTCTGTGTGTGTATGAGAGAGGGAGAGAGGGGTCAAAGCTCTTAGATGGGAATCAGGACAATCTTGGATGTTGGTCCTTGTCTACCACCTCACTTGAGACTGGGTCACTTGGGCATTTGCTGTATACACCAGGCTGCCTGGCCCATGAGCTTCCAGAGATTCTGTCTCCCCATCTCATCTGGCCATCAGAGCACTGGGATTAGAGATGTGTGCTAAAATGCCTGGCTTTATGTGGGTTCAGGGATTCAAACTCAGGTCCTCCTGCTTGCACTTTACCCAAGAGCCACCTTCCAGCACATGGTGTTTCTTTGTAGAATGTGAACACAGCGCTCCTCAGAGCTACCTATATGGACTTGAGAAGACCCGAGGGAAGGATGGCAGCCGGTAGGAGTAAAGGGATCAATCCTGGCTAGGGAGCGTGGCCTGTAACACCTACCATCTGGCTTCTTTACAGCAGCCCCTTAGCTTTGTTGCTATCAAAGGACAGCCTAAACAGCTTGGAATAGTCTCAGCTATCTAGATGACTTCTCTCTACAGCCTGATATTTGTCAAATACATTTACTCTCCAGCAAGATCACAAATTGACTCCAAGTCTAGCAACCACCATCAAGATCTCTATGATGGGGCTGGGGGATCTAACTTATTGGTAGCAAGCTTATCTAGTATGCATTTGTTCCTGGGTTCAGTCCACAGCACTAATGAACACAGCGTGATAGTGAATGCCTGTGACGCTAATGCTTAGGAGGTAGGAGGAGGAGGATCTGGAGTTCAAAGTCATCCACAGCTACTGCAGCAAGTTCAAGGCCAGACTGGGCTCCATGAGACTATCTCATAAAATAAAACTAGATGGTGTTGGTCAGGAGAGTGAAGAGGGGCGAAGAGGAGACTCACAAAGACTCTCCCTTGTGGATTCTTTTCCACAACCCAATAGAGTCTCAGAAGAGGTTTTTCTGCCTTCCAAATTCCTCCCCCATGGTCCAGAAACCAGTCTCTGCTTACATCATTTGCCCATGTATCTTGGCTCAGAACCGTGTTCCTTCAGCATCCATAAAAGATGGCATGAAACGTGAAACACACAAATGCCATCTGCTATGACCTATGTGTCACCTAACTTCCTCCCGGTGTCCTGTTCTAATATGAGTATAGCAGACAGCTTAGGGAAGGGGAAAGTGTTCTTCCTCACGTCACCTCTGACCGGAAGTTGGCCAGCATAGAAGACCGCTGCTACATCAGCAGAGAAAAAATGCTGTGATAGATTAGCAATGTCTGTCACTGGTGTGAGAACGGTGTACAAAACACACACCAAGTATTCGTCACCCTGAACCTTCTTGTTCTTAACTGTTCTTCAGAGAGGGCCATCAGACGCCTCTACCCGTTATCTCTCTACTGCTTCTGTGTTGGTCTCACTCATTCAACACTAAGCCCTTAATACTTTGTTATCTCCACCACTGCTTGATGGGGATTCATCTTACTTCCTGAGGTAGACTATAGGTTCACTGGGGGTGGGGGCAGGCTGCCTGGCATGGTTGGGGCTGTATTCATAGAGCTGAAGCTCAAAATAGGTACCAGCCCATGGATGAGCTGACTGATTGGAGGAGACTTTGCTCATCCCCTTTCAGATGCTGGTAAATAAGACAGTTCTCTGAAGCCAATGGCACTCGGCACGTTCCACTGTGATGTAGCTGTTGCTGGGGGAAAGGATGAGAAAGAAGAGGAAATGGAGGAGATAGAGGAGGTGTGAGGGGGAGAGAACACGTTGCTTCTTGCTTGGCCTGCAGTAGGTTAAATGGAGACACGTAAAATGGAGACACGTAGGGGAATTGATGTGATCCACACAGGAGGTCACCCCACTCCCTGATCCTTCTCTCCAGGACTGCAAACACCCCTAAACAAGGCTACACACACAGATCCTTCACTCGTGCCCCCAAGCAAGGCTACACCCACAGATCCTTCACTCATGCCCCCAAGCAAGGCTGTTGCAATGACAAAAACTATATCCAAAGGGGAAAGTGCCACCCCCGTCCTGTGCCCCCATTTGTAGCTGTGTGGTGACCAGAGACTAGAACCCCCATGCCCACAGCATAAAACCCACTGAGGCTGGTCGCTCAAGCTAACTGTGTTCACAAATGCTTGCTTTGTGCTAATTTAATTCTCTATTTCAATTAAGTTATTCTATCTAGAAAGTTCACAGAGAGGTGGACAGCAAATTTCTCCTGTTCATCCACATGGATGATAGAATGTGTCCCTGATTTAGCCCCCCTAAAAACCCAAGTATTTCAAAATGAACATACTCCCAAATCCGACTGAAACATTGTAGCTCAGGCCTTCGGCAGCAAAAAGAAGGGAAAACAGTCATTATTGTAGAACAGCCATTTGAAGCCCCACCTGACCAAACAAACAGCAGCCACAGGAAACTCCCGGCATTGATTCACCCATTCAACTTCCATCTTTCTACATAATTCACACAAATGAAACAGTGAGAAAATTCACCAAGTCATTCTGAGAGGGGGGAAAAAAAAACCAAAGCTTCGGTACATGCACAAAAACAGCAATTTGACTGCACAAATAAATGACAAATTTGTCTGTCTGTGTTGAAATTCAATGCAGTGAAAGAAAGGCCTTCACAGAAGATGAGGCTCCAACATCATCAAAAGCGGCTGGTACAGAAAGCGCCATTCAAATCCCCGGGACGGCACTCGCCACTAATTAGTTCTGTGAGGTCTTTTGACATCCAGTTCAAGGAATCTCTGCGAAAAATTCCAATTTATGAAACACACTCGCAGGCAACCTAAGGCGGCTATTCAGATTTCCACCAAGGAAAACGTGATGTTGTCCACCTCCTCTCCGGTGGCAATTTTCATTTCTCATCCGTACAGCAACACAGCCCACGGGAGCCGAGGGAAGAGACCGCTCTGCACTGAAAGGGTAAGGCACTAAAAATACCCGGACAATGTTCCTTCCAGGGAACCAGGAGGCGGCAGAAAATGATAAATATAAGTTTCCAAACAGCGTAAAGACAAGGCGAAGAACTGATGGGGTCTCCTGAGAGGGGTATTTTACCAGGATAAACGGGATAAGTATAGCTCATTAGAGAGAATCACCACGGCCTCTCACACATTGGACAACTATGGGGAGAAAAATCTCCTCGGGAAATTTTTGTTTTTGAGCTACATAAAACTGTTGGGAGGGGGAAGGCAGGAGAAGGTGGCTGTGAAGTACATCTGGGTTGGAGAAATTGTTGGCGCTTCATTTTTAGTACTGGTGATTAAACTGAACAAATCTTTGCGTGGTTTTTACATTCCATTTTAGGGCTGATGATTAAATTGCACAAATCTTTGTAAGATCTGATATTCGGTTTTTAGGACTGGTGATTACATTGAACAAATCTTTGTATATTCTCCCATTCGTTTTAAGAGGGAGGGTTACATGAAACAAATCTTGATGATTACCGATAAGAAACGAAACAACTCATGGGCTTTCACATAGGTTAGCACATGCGCGTGCGCGCGCGCACACACACACACACACACACACACACACACACACACACACACGCACACACACAGAGTGGACAGCTTGAGAAGTTAGGCTACATAAACTTCAGTGCGCCACACGAGATTCCTAAAATTCATTGTATATTTTTGAGTTTGTCCCTTCCATGGACCTGCCATTAGATGGTTTCTCAATTTGAAACATTTGTGGGCTGTTTCTTTCTCAATAGCCTTCAAATCAAAGGGCCTCAAACAGGCAGAATCTTCTTGCAAATTGTGCCAGACAGTTCTTCTAAAAAGTGAACAGAATCCTAAAGAAGGAGAAAGCCACACCACCGTTCACAAGTTCCTGCTTACCTGGAAGACTCCACAAACCAGAAACTTCCAGAGTTCTTAGTTTCTTCTCCAGCTCTGCCACTCGATTCCCTAGGATTCTAGAAACGGCAGGAAAATATTAAGAAGAGACTGAGTCACATGTCAGGGCTTAGGCCTAGGTGGTAGTGAATGGGGAGGTCGACACATTTAAGAATGGTGCTAAAAACAGAGCGAGTATGCACATGTGTACACGATACACAGTCTATTGAAAGTTCATGTGGAACTTGAAAATAAATAGAACATAAAGTCTCTCCCTCTCTCTCCCTCTTCCTCTCTCTCCCTCTTCATCTCTCTCTCTCTCTCTCCCTCTTCATATCTCTCTCTCTCTCTCTCTCTCTCTCTCTCTCTCTCTCTCTCTCTCTACACACACACACACACACACACACACACACACACACACACACACACACACACACGTGCGCTATTCTATTGAGTTCTGTTCCACAAGGCAATTCCCTGGAGGCTGAACAAATATTTCCTCACTGTCCAAAACATTGCAAGGAATTTCCATATGAGAATTGTTCATTGCTAAAGATGACAACTGATTTTTAATGCCCTTTAGTAGCAGTGGACCCTCATTCTGTGAGAGTAGGTAACATAAAGGGCCACACTTAGAAATATTTCTTCTGAGGCAATAAAGTAATAAGATCAGCTTTCAAAGACCCACACTAGGTCTTACTGATGCCCATGCCCTAGATATCAAGAACTGTAGATGTAACCAACGGTCTTATAAAATAAGAAACACAGAGCCAATTCAGAGAAGAAAGCCAAGAGGTCAGAGCTAAGAGCCTCACCCTTCCTGATTTAGGGATCCTCTCCAGCCAAGAGAGCTCTCCGAAAAGGACCTACTTCCTGTGTGTCTGTCTTTAAAGTCTTCCTGTTCTGCCTTGTCATTGGTTGTAAACCCAAACATGTGACTGCCTCGTCACTGCCTGAATGTACCGCCCTCCAGGTCCTTAAAGGCGTGCGCCACCGACGCCATGCACTTGCTATGACTCTAATAGCTCTGACCCCCAGACAACTTTATTTATTAACATACAATTAAAATCACATTTCAGTACAAGTAAAATACCACCACAAAGAACAATGTCCGATACCATGTAGGTGGCCAATAAATGTGCGTAATTAAACACAGGCTTTTTTTTTTTTCATAATCTGCAATCATCTATGGTAAAGGTGAATAACAAGAATTTCAAAAGAGTTTTCAGTGGGACTATGTGATGGCTCTGCAGGTAAAGGCATCTATCGGCAAGCTTGACAATCCAAGTTCGATTCCCAGGACCCACACAGTGGAAGGAGAGAACCGACTCCTGCCCGTTTTCCTGTGACCTCCACACACTAGACATGGCACATGTGCATCTTGCCCCCAACATACATAAATAAACGAATCTTAAAAAGAATTTTAAAAATAATTTTCAGTGGATTGGGTATCACTAGGATAACAAGGTTGCTTTCCAAATGGCCATTTGGACTCACTGGATTATCTAAATTCTGAAACGTGCACTAGAGAAGATCAGATTATAAGCTTGGAGGGCAGGCTTTGTGTGCATGAAAGGTAAACATCTGTTCATTCACTCCAGACATTAAACATAGCTGAGACATGACTGACAAGTCATCTAAAACCTTGCTTTCCAGTGGTCTAGAATTGGAAACCAGTCTTTATTTTTATTTGGGGGATTTTCTTGGCACTGCTGTGCTGAAATGACATGAAAATCTCCTTAATAGCAAATTCTCGATTCCTTTCAGTGGGGAAAAATTAGAGCAGCAGAATTATTCTCCTACGTCTCTTTCTATTCCAGAGATAGCTGCACACACCCACATACATTCAGCGCCATGAATATGCATTTAGCTGTACATATATACAGCTCGGTTCATCCTGATTTTACCTGAATCGACCTGCGGCATCTTAATCTTCCCTTGGAGTTCACAGGGAAAGTGGCGTTGCTCGACCTGGTTTCCTTCATCTAGTGACCGCAGCCCATGTTTCTCTCTTTTCCTCAAGTCTTGCACTCTGCAGAGTGCTCATCAACTACTTCCAGTTTTGCATCATCTGTTGGGTCTGTTTTGCTTTCACACCCTTGACCCTTCCGTGGACACCATCATTCCTAACCTGCCTTTCAGTATTTTGCATAGAGCTTCTGATCCCACCTTCCTTCCTCACAGTTGATGGGTCTGACATGCAATCACAACAGTGCTCCTGCTTGTTTCTTAATGAGATAAGATCGCATGTCTGCAGCTGCCTCTTTGGACAAAAACTAAGGCTTCACTACTCCTCAGTGATACTGAGGCGTGCCCCGAGCTGGGTGTATAGGTAGAGTGCAGGCTTTGCTCAAGCTGTTTCTGGATAACCCAGCCATTTCTCCCAGAAATAGGATGAGTGGAGTGACCGGTACCTCCCCCCCCACACACATTCTACTTCCAGGAATCCCACTCGAGTTTGTCAGTGGTAGCTGTGTTCTTTGGTCTGATACCAGCACCTGGACTGTAGGGCTGGGCGTAACAAAAGATCTAGGGAGAAGTTGTGGGTATGGCAACAGCAGCCACAGAACCATCAGTAATAGTGACCGCAACTCCTTAAAAATCTGTGCTTATAGAACTATGGATATAGCCACAGGTGATGTACAAAATCCAACCCAAGATGCTTTGCATGACTGGAAGGGATCTCCTGTCTGGCCTCACACAGCGACTCAGGCAGGGGTTATGGGAGCTGGTGTAAGAGGCTGTGAGAGCTGCAGTGGCTGGCAGGTCTCAGGATGCAGAGAAGTGTAAGAACAAATGTAGCTCAGGAAGTCTGACCAATCCGAAACCAGCTCCTGGGATCCACCTCTGTGCTACAGGCTGGAGGGGAAGCTGAAAGGAGAGGTCCCTACCCCTATTCCTGGAGACCAATAGTCTGTTGGTAGATACACATGCACAACGTGTTAGGGAACCTAAGGACAGCTGATATGTATCCAGCTTTTGTTCCAAGCCAGGTGTTAATGCCCTTGAACATATATACACTGCCCTGTTTGGGGTTTTTTGTTGTTGTTGTTTTCTGTTTTTCTTCAACATCTGCCTAGGTGGTCCTTGATTTACAGATGAGAAACTTGAAGCTCACAGAAGACAACGACTAACTCAAGGTCACACAGCTGGTAATCAGAGGGACTAGATAAAAACTAAGCCTGAAAACACGCAAATCCAATAAAAGCTGAGAGCAAAATTGAGGAGCTATGAGGAAGGGAGAACCAGCGAGGCTGGTAGGGCCTCTGAGGGAGAAGGAGCCTGTGGCTGTGCTGAGAACACTCTGATTTCTAATCTCAAGTTCTGGGGAGCTACTGAGGTCTTCTAAGCAGCTGAGAGAAGTTTAGGAAGTGGTCCTCATATGAAGTGGAGCACAGACAAGGATTAGGAGTAGAGGCAGAAATTCCACTTGGTCAGAAATCATCCAGGGAGGTGAAGATGTGACCAACAACCAGTGGGGATGCAGGGAAGCCAAGGAACAGGGCCACGAGGAGGAAGGGGAGGAGCTGAGGCCACATTAAAGATGCATGACCACAGGGCAACTCATGGAATAGGCAACTGTCTGAGCATGAGGCCAGGAAGGAGATCTACTCTTGCCAGTGGAGTGAGGCAAGAACCAGAGGCTGACAAGAAAGGGCTGTGACAAGGAAAGGAACAAGGACAAGCCAGAGCCTGGAAGCCACTGGGAGAGAAGTGCTAATGGGAAGAGTCTGCTCCTTCCAAGAAGTGCATGAAAGATGTGACCTAACCTGTGGGGTGGGGGGGGGGATGGTGTCAGGAGGATGAAGGGAACCCTGGTTCCCCAATGAGAAGCTAAGACAGATAAGCAGACAGGAAGGGAGATGGGTGTGCCGGAAGACAGCCAGTAGCACACAGATGCACACAGGGCAGGAGCTGGAGGCACACTCAGGCTTGGGAGAGGAGGGTTTTAGTATGGGTAGGATGGGAGAGTTTGTTTTGTTTTATTTTTAAGGTAGTTACAGGTCGTTTTAAGATATAGTAGAGATTTTGGTATACACTCCCCCCCTACTCCCTTCCCCTTAGTTTAAGAAAATCCTGTGGATGTCAGGCCCCCATACTGACTTTGCAGCATGGCTTCTGATAACATTCCTGGGGCTAAGGTTAGAAATCAGCAAAGGGAACCCAGGAGCTGGCCGGTCTGGTAGAATTCCCAGGGGAGGGTCCAGACAAAGGCCTCGTCCTGAAGGGGAAGCTGTGGCTTTCTGCGGCACTACCTGGCATGACCCACCTGAGGCCCTTAGAAATTCTGCTGTGATCCAGGACCTCACTGTTACATGAGATTTAGACACCTTCCCAGCTCATTTACCATCAGCTAAGGAAGCAGGAAAAGTGTGTTACTGAATTTGCTGCTTGGCAAGGACAGGCAGTACTTTAACAACCATCTCCTCTGCTTGTGGCATCAGCCTGTTAAGGAAGGGAGCCTCTTCCCATCTTTAGTGCTAACCAGGTAACGGCTAATGCATCATCACGAAGCAGAGCCAACAAATGGCCGAGCCATTGAGCATCACTCGAACATAAAGTCCCCTGTACTCAGCAGTCATCAAGATGGTTCCCACAGGGCCCTCTGCCTGAAGGGGGCCATTGCCAAAGAGTAGAAAGCCAGTAGCCAGAGCATGAGCTTCCAGAACGGGAGGTCGTTACTCCTGAGGTACTACCTCACATTAATATAAAGCTTTTTTTTTTTTTTTAATTTATTTTAATTTATTTTGCAATACAATTCAGTTCTACATATCGGTCACGGATTCCCTTGTTCTCCCCCCTCCCGTCCCCCTCACCTTCCCCCCAACGCCCCCCCCCCATTCTCATCTCCTCCAGGGCAAAGCCTTCCCCACAGACTGAGGTCAACCTGGTAGACTCAGTCCAGGTAGGTCTAGTCCCCTCCTCCCAGGCCGAGCCAAACAATCCTGCATAGGCCCCAGGTTTCAAACAGCCAACTCATGCAATGAGCACAAGATCTGGTCCCACTGCCTGGATGCCTCCCAAACAGATCAAGCCAATCAACTGTCTCACCCATTCGGAGGGCCTGATCCAGTGGGGACCCCTCAGCCATTGGTTCATAGTTCATGTGTTTCCATTCATTTGGCTATTTGTCCCTGTGCTTTATCCAACCTTGGTCTCAACAATTCTCGCTCATATAAACCCTCCTCATTCTCGTTAATTGGACTCCCAGAGATCCACCCAGAATATAAAGCTTTTTGGTTTTGGTTTTGGTTTCTGTTTTTGTTTTGTTATAAGGCTAAATCATGAGGGGTACCAGGGAGCTGACCAAACTCTCATTCTGTTCTCAGCCCTTCATTTATAGGACAGTTTACTTCTGTATACACCTCCAGGAACTATGAAACTGAAGGCCTTCAAAGTACCAAAAATGGCAATTGAGCACTCCTTTGTGTACCAATATGATGCTACCTCCACGACCTACTGTTCCAGGGGAGAAAGGCAAGCCAAGGAATAAAGGCACCAAGGGTGCTCCTCCCTTTTCTATGAGAAAGAATAGCTGCTTTTTTGTTTTAAAAAAATCCATAAATATATGAATACTTAGGTGCATTTTCATATATGGTGCCTTTGTTTGCATGATTCGAAGGTCACATGGAACACAAGAAAAGGTGACTTCTCCCAAGGAAGGGGTTTGGACAGCTAAGACGTGTGGAGACCCACGGTTGTTTAACCATGGCTCAAAAAACTATTTTAAAATGAGTAAACGTGCAAAGGAGTGCTCAAAAACCAAACAAAATAACAACAACCAAAAAACCCATGAGGAATGGAAATGTCAGCCTCCACACAGGGAGAAAGTGGTTTGCATCTGGGGCCTATGCTTATCGCAGTGGGGTTCAAAGGAGCCCAGAGCCCCTGGACGGGTGTCTCTCAGGAGTGAGAAGCAGGCTCACTTCAGGCTTCGGGGGATCCCCGAAGACCGCCCTCCCGCATCAGATTCCCACCCATGCTTCCTGAGAAGTAGCTGCAGTTCAGCATGGCTGTTTCATTTTGCAAGGCTGTTGCAAACATCTCCTGTCAATAAATTACCCTGTCATCCGGGGAGATTGCCGGCCTCCCTTTGATGCTCTTGCTTTCTCCCACATACATCTTCATCTCTGGTACGGTCCTCTCCGCACTCCATCATTTCCCTTTTCTCTTGTGTTTTTATAACACGTTCAATCATTTTCCCGTGGCCTCTTCCCTGCCTGTGTCCCCGCCTTGGGCAGCCCCAACTCTCAGGTCCCTCCCCTCTAACATCTGTTCTTGCTCCATTCTTCTGCAGTGCCACTGTGGCTCTGAGTGTGAGTCTTAGCAGCAGGACCACCTACAATTTTCAGGGTTCTGTGCAAGAGAAAAGTGTGACCTCCCCCACACCACCACCCCCTCCCCATGAAAAAAATCATCATGAACTTCGATGGTGGTAACAGTATCTGGCCAAATGACAAATCCTTCTCTGTGTAGATCACAGGCCACAAAACGGGCCCTGCTGTGACTGAAATGTGCTCTTGTGTTAGGAGCTAAATTTCCAAGCTCATAGGTCAATGCTAATCGCCTTTAGGAGGTGGTTAGGATGAGATGATGTCAGGAGGCTGAGGGCCCTACCCTAGCATCAGTGGGTTTATGAGAAGGCTATACAGGTAAGCATGCTTGCCATATCTGACCATGTGGTACCTGGGTCACGTTCAGATGTGGCATGAAGGCCATCACCAGACACAGTGGCATGCTCTTGAACTGGGCCTCCTGACATGTGAGAAGGGAACTCCTTATTTTTAAAAATATTCATAAATTACCTAGTCTTTGGTACTCAGTTACAGGAACAGAAAATGGACTGATGTGTGCAATATTTATTGCTTTGATTTACTGTTCTTACTCGCCATTCTCAGGACATTTTCAGCTTGGCTCTTTTGCTTCTGACCACTGTTTTAAACCACCTTAACTTGCTCAATTTGACACAGCACAATCAACACTCATTAAAATAAACAGGGTGCTCCATCTTATTGACATTTCCTTTTCAACATCTTTCCTCCATTATCCAACAGAGTGACAGGAAGTTCCCCCACAGGGACAGCAGCCCATAGCAGGTGACAATGGTTTTCCTGGTCATCAGAGACCCTCAGAGTCAAGTTATGGAGTTGAAGGGACACTGAGGCAGTTCCCACCTCAAAAGGAGAGCTAAGGAAGAGGCAAGAGATTTGGCCTTCTCCTGTGGTGTTAATAGGGGACAACTCAGAGGACATGCTCACTAAGAAATCAAGATTCCTACTTCATTGACTCTGGTGGATAACCTGGATGCCAATGCAAAGTATAAGCATAGTTCTGGTTTCATGGGGTTTACCCCCCAAAACCCCAGATTTCAGGGTTCAGGGATGTTACCTTCTTCCCAGAGTGCTTTCGGTTTACCTCTGGGAGCCTCATTCCCACTCTCCTACCCCCCAAGTCTAAGGACCCACTACATACCTGTTGGTTTGTCTCTGGTGCTGAATGACCATGTTTTTCTCGTGGATTGTCTCCAGCAGGGCCGTGGCCAGAGACTTCAGGTCGGCAATGGACTGTGGAGTAGCTGGGAGGCTGCACCCGTGATCTTCAGAGAGCAGATCCTGGACTAGGGAGGACACCGAGTTGACAACTCAGTCATGGATTCTGAAACACGGGGCTGCAAACCCATGCCAGTTCTTCCCAGATAACGGGGGTCCCGAGCTCGGACATGATACCGTGTTTTACCGAGAGTCTATCCCAGCTACCACAAGGAGAATGACATAAAACTCAGTGTGGGGGCTAAGTGGGAAAGCCTCAAGGAAGTTCGACCCCCTTTCAAAAAGTTTCTTCTTTCCGTCAAGCCAGGATGGAACCCCGGGCTGTCCTGCTATGCAGTTGCTCGCTCACTGAACCACACTCACATCCAGCCATCTGCTGCCTGTTCAGAGATTAACAACATTTTCACTTGCCAGTGTGTGTAGACATTTTTATACTAATTCACTGAGACTCTGAACTGGGGGGGGGAGACCCCAAACCCAGCAAGTGTTATTTATTTCCATTGTGTTAACAATAAAGCAAGTCTCAGATGGGTTAAAAACACTTGTTCAAGGTCATACTGCCCTGCAAATGACAATACTTCCCTGCCCTTCAGGTGCTCTGATTATGGCAAAAGTAATATACCACTTTAAAGGGGTAAATCAATGGGGAGAAAATACAAGTGACCACCACCCTGGTACTCCTCCTGACCATGAAAAAACACTGTGCTCTCTCGAATATTACTTCCTATGTAACTATATGTATGTACACAGATTCATTCAATATTCTTCTAAAATGGGAAAAATATGACTTTTTCACCTAACAACATTCCATCCCAATAATATCCCCTAGAACATAAATGTGAACCCCCACTTTAATACTCTATCTAGGTTTGTAAAAATTCCTTTAGCTATTGCTAGATATTTATGTCATTTCCAGTTGAATGTATGAAGAAATTTCTTAGAGCAAAAAGTTCATATGTGTCTGTTTTATTTCTTGCTAGTTCTTGCTAGGGGATCTGTTTAGGTTTTTCCTAGTGGATTGCCGTTCTCCTACCTTTTGATTACCAATCCCATAGATCATGTTAGTAAGCTTCTCTAGGTTTTTCTAGAAGACTTGAGTTAGTGGGTAACTCTGCCTGTGGTGTTTGAGTATAGCTGGCACTTGAGACATAAGAGGCGGGACCTGGGTCCAGACTCTAAGATGGTTTCAAGGTATGGTGTCCAGGACTAACCATGCATGGGGTTCTCTCTCTCTAATTCTCTGTTTCTCTGTCTCTCTCTCTATCTCTGTCTCTCTGACTTTCTCTCTCTCTCTCTGTCTCTCTGTCTTTCTGTCTCTCTGTCTCTCTCTCTCTCTGTATGTATGTATTTATGCATGTCCACATGTTCATGTGTGTGCATGCATGTGTGGGTTTATGTGGAGGCTGTATGTTGACATCAGTGTTTTCCTTAATCTCTCTCTACTTTTTATTTTTGACTCAAGGTCTCGTTTTGCAGCCCTAGCTAGCCTAGAACTTGATATGTAGACCAGGATGGCCTCCAGTACCTAGAGATATCTGCCTGCCTCTGCCTCCAGAGTGCTGAGGAAAAAGACACTATGCCTGCACAACTTTATTTTTTTGAGACAAGGTCTCTCTCTGATCCTGGAGCTCACCGATTAGGCTATGAGGGGGGCTGGGCAGAAAGCACCAATGATCCCCTTACCTCGTTCTCGCCAGTGCTAGGATTACTAGTGTGCACCACCACAACCAGTTTTTTACGTGGGTGCTGGGGATCTGAACTCAGGTCCTCATGCTTACATGGCAGACACTTCACCTGCTGAGTCACACAGATGGGCTTTTCCACATTTTTATAGGGTGCTATAGCTTTCCATTCAAAAACACTTCTAGGATGTTCATTTCTAGCTGAGTGGGGGGAAAGAAGTTGCTTGGGAAAGAACCTTGATTGTTGACTCCACTGCAGACGCTATGCTTTTTAAAGCCAGTTCTGATTAAGACTGGGCCATGATAGCTGCTGGTCCACACTGTCAGTAGCTGAGAAGCCAGCCAGTGCAACCTAGGCTTAAGCCGAGAACTGACTGCAGAATATGAAGCACCAGACTCAAACTTCCTGCTATTTCCTCCCCTAGACTGCTCCCGGAAGATCATTATTTTTCATTGGAATCGACAGGAAGGGGGAACAAAGCTGCAATCAATAAAAGCTTCTTTGGAAACGGCATGCGTTCCCATGATCCATCATGCAATGATCTATGCAGCAGGAGGCTTTTCCGTTCTGTCTGCAGAGGCCAGGAGAAATACACTTCAGGAGGCTCAGCATCTAGAGGCTCTCAGGTGATGATGGGGAAGGAAAAACATTCTCAAGAGGGTCCAGTCATTGAAGAAGCTCGGAGGTGATCGTTCTTAAAGTGGGGTCCCCCACTACAGCAGCATGGCCTGGGAACCCTGCAGATGTAGATCCTCAGGTCCCACCCCCAACACCTGTCAAACCAGAAACCTGGGTAGGGGGTAATCTGGTTTGGAAGGACTCAGACAATCCTGCTGCAAGTGGCAGTTGGGTACCACTGTCTTCTGCCCCACAAACCCAGAGGCTGGGATGGGACATGGACTACAGCTCTCCGCTCAGAAATTGGTCCAACCTGGACATTAACTCCTACCTTGCTTTGCAGACAGGACCCCAGTCAGAGCGCTACTGCTGGACTTGCCTTGGCTCTTGGAGTTTTTCCGTCTCTCGAGAGCATTCTGCAACAGCAATAGAAAAACCAAAAGCCTTGTCAGGAAAGACAGCGATGGAAAAGTTCTTTGTTAAGGGGATACACCCCATGTACTCACAAGATCACTGGCAGACTCCAAATGTAGCCTAAAACATAGAACTCTCAATCCTTGGGATTTTAAAAGACTCCATATAGAGAGCTTGATTGGTTTTTAAGTTACTGCAAAGGAGAAAGGCAGTAACCATAGTCCCTTATCTAACATGTAGAGAGTTTGTTATGGAAATCATTTTAGAACAGACATAAGATAAAGACTACATTTGCTTTCATGTACCAATGGTGGTATCTGGAAAGATATGACGTTTGGATTGGAAAAGGATCATGGTCAATTAGTGATGTCTGCCTTGGACACAGGATTAAGTACACATGTTGCTATGGTCATTCTTAGAATGGACTCCTGTCTTCACACTGATGTATAGTAGTCAGGCATTGTTTCGAACATGAACATGATACATGACACAGGAAAGGATGCATATGGTTATAAATGCATATACTAAAAAGCACATACTTCCTTCTTCGTGTTTATATACAGATTGATGTAAACGAGAGTGTGGCTCCCGCCAAATGGAAAGCCATGGTGATCTCTGAGGACAAAGCCAATATCAACAACCAGGACAATGAGCCAGCTCTCCCTATCATTCAGTTGGCTATAAAACTTCTGCACCAGGAAGAGCCATCAATCTATTTTCAAAGCAGAGAGACCCAGGAGAGTTTTCCAATTATAACACAACCAACACTGCAGAAATAGATATTATCCAACCAATGGAGCTGGAATTGGACTAAACGACAGTGAGGCAAATTCAAACACTCTACCCTCTCCATGTGCCTTGAACGTTAGCATTTGGGTTGTGATGCTCCATCCTTGCTTCTTCTCCCACAGAAACCATTTTCTTGGGGATAATTATGAGATAAACAGCATCTGACAACTATACATTTCATAGAGGAAGTGGAGAGGACCCCTGAGGTCAAAGAGCTGAGGCTCCAAGGTGGAAGCACATAGGTTTTGGAGTTCCCAGGATGCCCTGTTCAGACTGTAGACATAGAAGCAGATACTGGGGGGGAAATGGCGTTGGGAGTTGACTGTTTCGTGGTTGGTTTCACTGGCTATTCCAATTAGGGGTCTTATTGGACTCCATTTGGGAGGACAGGAAAGGGATGGAATGCCTTTGAAACATAAGAAAGAATGAAAACAGGCTGACAGGCAGATGCTGAGTGGAGAATCACAGACTTGGTATTGATTGTGCTACCTTGTATTTGGCAATGTTTGACTTCAGAAGGCTGACCTCCTCATGGAGTTGTTTCAATCTCTCTTGGAGATATCTAGAAAAAAAAAAACACAACAAAATTCACATAACCAGGATGGGCATGGGGGAGGAATGAAGCCCACTGAATGATAAGAGCAAAACATGAAGCCCAGGTGTCATTTGCATGTAACGACTTCTTTCTCATCCTGGAGGGCAGGGGCAGGGAAATGTGACCTTTTATGAAACGGATTCGATCAAGGTCAGACATGCCCGAAGCACAGACACCCCATTTTAAAAACAGCCCTCTCGGAGATCCCCTAAGGGACAACAACATCCTTTTCATATAATTCTCATTAAGATGATTCCACCAGGGAGCAAACCAGGAAGAGAAGACGCCAGCCATAACACGAGTCAGACACATCCACACGCTGAAATGTGCCTGGGGGGAAAGACACAGCTAAGGGAATTTCTCAATTTATTTTCTTATTCTTTCTCCTCTCCTTGACAGCAATCACAAACAACTCTTCCTGGCTCTTCACCCTTGTGGCCCAATCAGAGAAGGTGTGGGAAGCGAGGGAGGCTGGATAAGTGGGCGTCTCCCCCTTCTCTTCTTACTTTTGTAGCCAGTCCACGCCATTGCCAATATTTGGGGGCTGTGACTTGCTTTTTATTCCCAATGCAGCTGTCTCAAGTGCAGGCAGGGCTGCAGGAACCCTGACTGCCTCCCTCAGCTGCACTCACCTGTTCTCCATGCACAGAGCATCCACATCAATGATACGGCTCTCGTGACCACCCAGGATGTGGTTGAGCTCCTGGTTCAGCCTGTCCACTTTGTCCTGGTAGGAAGCCCGCTCTTCCTTAACATCCTGGAGTTCATCCACCGAGGCCTGCAGGTCATGTTCTAAGGACTCGATCTGAAATCCAAGGAGTGTCACTGTGTTCCTCAAACATGGGCTTTTGGGTCAGGGGTTAGCTTCCACTAGACTGGCTGACTTGGCAAGCTTATGGATACTGATCACGTGCTAGAGTTACCCACACTGCATTGCAGGCTGGGTAAGGGCTGGAGCTAGGGGACACTTTCCCCCCAGACACTTAACATGGGTGGGACAGATGAGCCTGATCTCCAACCCCTGCACATTGCTCCCATTCACAGGCATGAAAAGAGCAGGCTGACCCTAGAGTCTTACAAATGCTTGCTGTTCCAAGCCAATAAAACCTGGGCGTCCTGTGCTCAGTTAGCCCAAGAAGAGAAAAGGGAGTCCTTGCTCCTGTAGCTGCTTCCCAAGCAGGGCTCTGTACCTTCTGAAATCCCACCCACAAAGCATCACTTAGCATCTTAGTGGGAACTCATAAGTTAAAGGGCAGTTTGTCACTTTTCCTGCCCACTGCCTATGTGGGTGGATGGCGGCAAGTCTCTTGGTGTGCTCAGAACCAAGTAAGTCAAGCCCTCTTGGTATCCCCTGGCCTCCTCTTGGACATGGACACAGAAGCATATGTTCCCTGCTTCCTGTTGTGAGGGGCCGTGGGAGCATGTGTGTCCTACTTCCTGTTGGGAGGGGCCATGGAAGCATGTGTGTCCTGCTTCCTCTTGTGAGGCCACATGCAGGCCTCCCCACCCACAACAGAGCTCAGCAGTCACCTGTTCCTTAGCTCGTTCCAGCTGCTCCACCAAATCCTCTCGCTCATGGGCTGCGAAATGCCTCATGCCAATTTCTTCATCTCCGAGCCTTTGTTTAGCAATTGTCATCCTCAACAGCTGCATTTTCCATTATCAGAACAGAAAGGCAAAGGAAGAGAGAAAGAATATGAATGAGAACATCTCCCCAGACCTCAAGGACCTATATAGAAATTTCTGGAAGAATAAAACTCTTGCAGGAACTACTGGAAGAAAGTATAGGACAAACGACTTGCCAATATTATGAAGTTTTAAGAAAGAGAAAATTTCTGTAATAATTTGTGCTTGT